ATTTTGGCCTGAGATGTTGAACAGGTGCAATTTATGATAAAACATTTTTTATGTTATTAGTGTAGTGTAAAGAAATCGTTCTGTGGTAGTTTAGGTAAATCAAAAGTACTGAAGAAGAGGAGAAAGACGTCCTGCTTCTTCTCATCCTTCTCTTCCCTTTCATCCTCTTCTCCTTCCTGTCAGAGCAGAGGTGCTGAAGGAAAAGTTGGGAGAGAGGATGAACAGATGCTCCCCCCACATTTGGAGACAATAACTGGAGACAAACACTGAACAAAGACAAAAAAAAGCCTCCTTCCTCTTCTTTTTTTTCTTTCCTTTACTCTTTCCATTTTTCTCTCTTTTGTTGCAGTTTACTGTCTTTTTATCTTGTTCCAACAATTTGCATTTCATTTCATTCTATTTGCTGTTTTTTCCATTGTCTTTCCAATCTCTTTTTAACGAAACCCTTGAGGGCCGGCAGCATGTCCATCACTGTCAGCAAGTTATAACAGAAACACTGCAGACAAAGTAGAGTTCGTTTCTTTTCTTCTCTATCCTTCTTTTAATGTCAGGTTCATTGTACACTAGATTATTCTTTCACAGTCGAGAATTTTTTCCACTTTGGCTGTGTCTTTTTTGAAATATTATTTGTTACATTTGTGTTATAGATTATTCTTTGAGTTCTACTAAAACACCATTACCTGTGCATTGAATTAGAACTGAAATGAGCCTTCAATATATTACTTGTTTTTCTTGGAAAGTATGATGTTTGCTGTTTTTTCAGGTTTGTAAATTGGGTGTAAGTTTAATCTTTGGTCTTTTTGGGTTTTGTGATCAAACTAAAGTGACAACATTTGGGGTACTTTTGACATCTTTTACACTAAAGACCAGAATAATTCATCTCTTTTCATTAATATATCTCCCTATTTCCCATGCTGCTACTTTTCTTATGGGTAATGATTGTAGTGGACAAAAGTGAAAACTTAAACAGTCACTGGATCCAAAATAAACTTTAAGTGGAAGAATTTAATGTATTGGAAGTTGTCAGTGCAGTGTGCAGGCGTCTAATTTCCAGATAAAGTTCATCGGCTGTTTCTTTTTTCTTTCTAACAGTGGTTCACACAGTTGCACAGCTGGTTGCTCTGAATGCATGTTTTGTGTGTGTGTGTGTTGTCAGTTCCATGAGGAATCAGTTTTCAGTGGAATGCGTCTTTACTTTGTGTTGATGCTGAGGGCGATGCACAGGAAGCTTTGATGAAATCTGTGACGTTCCATGTTCTCTGAAGAGCCTCCCAGCCTATCAAGTGTCCCCACACAGCGGGAGGTTACACAACTGCTTCTACTGTATTCTGTCAGAGCTTCTACTGTGATCCAGATGATCGGCTCTACTGCTTTTTGTTAAGGGCGTTTGTCATTGTTCTGTGATGGAACACAGCAGCTTCAACTGGTTTGTTTTATGGTTCTGTACAGGGAATGGGTTCTACTGGTTTCTCTCATGTGTTGTCATACTCTACAGTAACTGTTTTACAAAGCTGGTTCTGCTGGTTTTGTATTATTTCAAACAGAGTCAGTTTGATGGCCTGTGTGCTGTTGCACAGAACTGGTTCCACTGTTTCCCATCACCTTGTCTTTTCTACTGTGACACTGGTGTGTTTGGCTCCTGTTGTTTTAACATGGTATATTGTAAGGAACTTGCTTTGTTGGTTTCATTGGGTGGTTTCGCATCAGGTTTACCACACTGGTTTCATTTCAGTTCACTGCACATTGTTAGACATTGTTATACAGTGTAATGGCAAATCTCAGCTGGTTTTAGTGCAGAGTTTATTGTACTGGTTCCACCGGTACAATAATTTGATACAACTGGTTCTTCTGGCTTCCATTATGTTTTGTCTCATATTTGGTCTTGAGAACTGGTTTAACTGGGTTCTATTGTGTTTCTACTGTAACACAGTAACCACCATACAAAACTGGTTATATATTTACATTCTAAAATGGCAGACAGACCTGGTTTGGGTGTTTTTTCCTCTGATGATAATTTTGACAACTGGTTCCATTCTGTGGCCTTTATGTTGTGGCACAAGTGACAGAAGTGGTTTTGATAGTTTTTGCTACTTTTCAGTCTGTGCACAGAGACTTGGTTTGACTGGCTTCAAAGTGCTGTTGCTCTTAACTGGTTTTCCTGTTTTAATTTAGCTTCTATTGTTACTAGCTCCAGATCTGACTGACTGGTTTTTGGTAATACAATAACAAAACAAATATTTAGGGTGCATATCAGTTTTGCACATCTGGTTGCACTGGCTGATACCACCGTATGTTTCTGTCACAGTACAAAAACTGGGTTGGACTGGGATTATGCAAAATTCCACTTGTTTCTGTTGTTTTTCTCCTGCTACAGCTGGTTCAGCTGGTTCCCATGTGACTCTCACTGACTGTGGCACTGAAAACTGATTCCTGTCTCGTTTTTTCTGAGGTCCAAATTGTAATTTTACACAAGTCACACCGGTTTTCATTATGACTCACTGTGGCACAGAGATGTGGTCTGGCTGGTTGTAATTGCCATCACAGCACAGAAATTATTTTTCACGCCAGGTTTGACCGGTTCTGTTTTGTAGTAGAAGTCTACTATAATCCAATCTAACAGCAGCCACATTAACACAATAACTATTTGACAAAGGAAACTGAACAAGGTCTTTGTGGAAATGTCCAAAATGTTACAGTAAAGAGCTTCATATGAAACGTATTGACTGGACATACACTGGTTTCTGTTGTGGTTTGCATTCTTTTTCTCTGGTTTGTGGTTTACCAGTTGTCAATGAGATGACAACACTGGCTAGGGTTTCTCTGAATAGCTCAAGGTCTGCTAGCTCACTGTGAGAATTGTGATACTGCTGTGTGTGTGTGTTACAAATGACATTGCTATTGTGTCTCTCAATATTTTTCAGACTTGAACGCACTCTGCACCTGTTCCTGTCTGTCTAAAACATACATGCGCACAGACACATACACACAAACATGCACTCACAGTTAAATACACAAACACACGGACACAGTCACACACAAATCATAGTCTCTCCTTGCTAGTCTAACAACATCCAATGGGAAAAAATGTCTGCAGACATAAATCTGAACATTTTCAGCATGAACAACACTAGCGTGTGTGTGTGTGTGTGAGCTTGTATGTGTGTACGTTTCTGTGTGTGTGTGTGTGTTTTGTAGGCTTTGAGTCAATAAATGTGGTTTTATTATCACAGCATAAATTCAGTTCTCGGGGGGAAGAGGAGGAGGAGGAAGTTCAATGAAGTTTAGCTCTAATGACATCTACAGACTATGTGTCTGTGTGTATAAAAAGGAAGGATTCTTAAACTCATGCAAGGTGCATTGTGAGAAGGTACAAACCTCTTCTGGATACTTAAATTTTACATTTACATTTATTTGCAAGTTTGTGTGCCGGTTAGTGTGTGTTTGTTTCCTGACCTCAACCTTTTATTCCCAAGTTCATAGTGTGTGCTGCTCCTTTAATGTCCTGATTGTTGTGGAGAGACATGAGTGTGGCCTCTGTCTATCAGCGTACTGTGTATTTTTTATGGCTCCAAACATTTTCACACCTGTTCACACCTGGCTATTTACTACAAGAGTAAAACAGTTGCGGGAGTTTCTCTGTTTCCCTCCTAGATTCTCTGTATCTGTGTCCTATGTATATGTATCTATATCTATATCTATCTATCTATAGATAGATAAACCCTAACCCCAAAGAAAACTGAAAGCTCCAACAAGGTTTTGGTGATCTGAAGAAACAGTTGGGAGGGGTTTGTTTGACAGAAACAGTTTTAGGTTGTTTTCTGTTTCTAATAATTTCTCTCAGGGAGTGTGGGAAGTGAGATGATGGTTTGTAGAATCCCCCCAAGTTACATTTTTTCATCTTTTTCTTTCATTTGTTCTGTCTTTGTTTTATCGTGAGATTTTTGTACCACATCTGTATTCCATTCATATGCAAATGCTCTAAAGTTAACAAAGCAGCCCATGTCTTTTAAGGGGGTCGAGTGAATAGCTGTGGAGTGGGTTTTTCTTTTTAATGTGAATCAGTGGGGAAGCCAGAGAGAGAAAAGCACTTTCAACAGCTGTTCCTGGGTGTGCGTCATGCGGCACGAGCTAGCATCATGGCTGAGTGTTTGCACGCTATGCACACACACATACACATAGGCATGCTGTGGGGACCTCCAGTCAAAGGCATGACCAAACACAGACACTGTGTACTCATGCAGCTGCAGTGTTGTTGAGGAAGAACATCACCTGTTTTAAGTGATGACTGTCTGCTGGGTCGGTATGCAGTCTGACTTTGAACTGCATGTTTGCTGCATCGCTGCTGCCTCCCCTCTGAGAGGGGTCGCCCACAAAATCACTGCTTTGTTCCTCTTTCAGTCACCAAACTAGTCTGAATGAGAGGAGGACTGACAGAAGACGTGTTGTGGTTGTTGCACTTTGAAATGTTGGTTTAGTTTTTGCAGCATGGATGGAGGGCAGTGCAAACTTCTTTTTACAAAATATAGTATAAGTATATATTGTACATTATGTATAAACTTGTTTAAATTTTACTTTAAAAAGAACCTCAAAAGGTTAAACTAGATCTTAGTCAGCATAATTAAATATAGGCATATAGAAAACCTTTAAAGGATAAGAAGATTAAAAATGTTTTATTGTAAGTAACAGTATGATAATGATAATAATAATAACACAATGTAGTAACTATCACACACCTCTAATGGCTCTTGAACAAAATTCCCAGAGCAGCTGCTATAGTTTATTCCAGTTTGAAAATCAACTCAACTTCTCAAGGAGAAGGGTCAATGATGTGTTACAGCCGGCTAGAAATGTCATCTATTTCTAGCTGATTCCTCCAGAACATCAGAAGAAAATGAGAGAATGGAAACGTTTGGCTGTGAGTTTTCGATGCAACCGAGTTGTATTTTGATCAGTGTGAAGACTTCTGAATGACGCTCTGTGTTTATGTGTTTGTGTTGCAGGTGTATGCTCCGTCTGCCAGTACAGCTGACTACAACAGGGACTCACCGGGTTATCCCTCCTCCAAACCTCCCAGTGCTGGCTTCCCAAGCTCATTCTTTATGCCAGGTACACACACACACACACACACACACGGTCTGTCACTCATCACAGCTCCCACCACTGGATTCCTGAGCTCGCTGAGGACACTGGATTACAGACAAAGCGGGCTCGTGCTGAAAGATGTTCTCAGACCTAAATCAACAAAAAAAAATTGAGTCATATGTTTTATGAATTATTTTAGCAGCCAGATGAGGTGTTTATTTTTGCAGGAGATAGCAGTGACAATAACAGGTATTTGAGTGTTAACTTTGCAGCTGTTCTTAGTGCTGTCAGATAACCCTGCTTTCACACCAGTCACGGCATTACATCAGTGATGAGTGTGGCTGCTCTCTCCTGATGGGCACTTCTCAGCATAGCAAAGTGAGCTGCAGGTGGAAGTTTGGAGAGTGCCAAAGGATCTTCTTTATTTCACCAACATTTTTTTTACTCATCCAGTCCTCAGGGAAACAAAATAAATAGATATTTTCATCACCTGTAAAACTAGGAATGTTTTATACATGATCAGCTGTCTGTGCAACAGAGTATATGTAGGGGAGGCAGAGCGCTCAATGAAAAATAGAATAAATGAGCAAAGTGCTGATTTTATGTGACTGTGAAATGTGTTCTGGTAAGATTTAAGTTTTGTTTTGGTTTGTACTTTTATTTTGACACTTCAGGGTGGAAAGGAAGCATTCTTTGGAGGCTGGCCACATATGTGTCTAGCTCTCATTGGATAACTGATTATGAGCCACCCTTGTCACAGATTATATATACAGGCTCAGTTTTTGCACATTTTATAAATCACCCTGATGAGAGATGCCTGCAGAAATGTGTTGGTGAAATAAAGAAAAACCTTCCAACAAGTCATCTACAGTTTTGTCCCTCATTTCTTTAGAGTAAACCCCTCAGAAGCAATGAAAATGCCCTGACATAAATATATAGTACATGGCATTTTCTTTTCTGAGTCCATTTTTTTTCTAATATCAGCACATTTGTGTTTTATCAGACATATTGTATACCATGGTCACGTCACACTAGTAAAAACGGACCTGTCTGTTAATGCTTGTTTGCAGTCACTGTTTCAATTGTGAGTTAATCTGAACAGAAGAGTTTCTGTGGTTACTGGCAGTAAAATACCTTCAGCACTAATGTAAAAAGGTAATAAAATTTTTGACCAGAATTGTGTTTGAGGTTTCCTATTGTTTCTGTGGACATGTAGTACTATTTTCTGACGTCCATTCAGACTGAATGAAAGTGAATTTTCTCCATGTTTTTTTGACACAAATCAGAGAGATTTTTTCAGTCTGTGTTTATTTACAGACAGCAAATGTCATCTTTATTTCACTTTCTTGTTTTCCCTCTCTCTTGACCTCACACACTCCTACAAAAAAACATGACAGACCATGGTAAAAGTTCTCAGGAAGCAGCAGCACACAAAAAAAAAATCTGTTAACCAAGTTATGCTTAAACCTGATGAAGGGAAGCAGGTGTCCCATTTACATGGATATTTTCTCAAATCAGGTTACTGCATAAAGTGGGTCAGATCACTACACTGCATGTGGACACACTGAGTGATATGAAGCTTTGACAGAAAAGAAATAAGCCTCAGTACAGTATGTTTTTACTCTGTGTTCTGTTCAGCCACACAGACTAAACTGACCTGAAAGCAACATACTGCACATCACATGTACCCCTCCCTCCGTTTCTTTCTGTGTCTCTGTCAGATGGTCACCACAGCGGCGATCCCTGGAGCAGCAGTAGTAGCAGTATGACCCAGCAGGGTTACCACGGCAGCATGCTGGCAGGCGGGAACTCAGCCCATGGCCCCGCCCAGAGCTCCTCCTACTGCGGGATTCACCCACATGACAGATTGGTAAGCAGAGGTGTCAATCACATTGTGTACAGGTTGTAACACAGGTGATGCCTTCCTTTTTAGGAAAACTTTATGTACTGTAGATATACTTTAATCAAATGACTGAAAAGAAAATCAGCAGTTTTTCAGTTTTTTTCCTGACTTTACCCAAGCTGCTTTAACTTTAATGGTTAAGACCACACATTACATAATTGAAAGAAAGTGTAAAATACACACTGTTCTTTTTAAGCAAAGCTTGCTGGCTACATAAACTTTTATCATACCCAGTCAGAGGCATAATTATATGACAGGATTATAATTACCCATATAAAGTATCATAAAATGCAAACAATCAAGTAAGTACAACTTTCAAGTACCCCAAAATTCTACTTAAATGCAGTACTTGTATGACAGCAGATGGTGTTTTTCAAGCTGAAACTGTGCTAACTAGTTATTGAAAGTTGTGGAATTTAAAACCTTGATGTGAACATTTGCATATCTAGACACATGGAATACATTTATAAGTCCTTCACAAATGTGAATCTGTGAATTTGTTAAAGGTCAGAGCTCTATACCGTTACTAAATGGAAAGGCTTCATGTTGATCATCACTGCCTTTCATTTTTATTCTCTTTGTATGTAATCTTTTGTGTTTTGCAGTAGCTTGTCCTTTTCTTGTTAAAGTTTCATCTTGTCTCTCTACAGAGCTACCCATCACACTCGTCTGCAGATATCAGCTCTAGCCTTCCTCCCATGTCCAGCTTCCACCGAGGGGGAGGGAGTGGGGGCGGTGCCAATCACTACAGCACCGCCTCTTGCACTGCCTCCACCAATGGCACAGACAGCATCATGGGTAAGCCACCCATGTCCAAAGAAATATTGAAGCTGCTGTTCATTTCTAAAACTGTGTTGACAGCATCCTTTGAGGACTTCACACTTGTACCTGATTGCTGACCTGGACTTGACTGTGAGACTTTCCTTTCACTTGACTTGCTAAAGACTTGACACGTGACTTGAAAGCAAAAACATTCAAGTCTCAAGTTTTGACCTTGAAAGACCTTAAGTTTGACTTGACAGTTTGTAATTAAGACTACCCTAAAGGACTTTGACACTGACTTTATGCTTTTCCTAAAGGACTTAATAAAAGCTTGGCTGTGTGTATGCTTTAATTCTTATCATCAATATTCTGCAGGAATCTTTGACAACATTGTGAACAGACAGGTGTTTAACTGTGAAAGTAACTGATCATGTTTGTGTTTTGACGCTCAAAGACTCCACAGATGATCTACTCAGAGTTACTTGAAAGTCAACTTTACCATTTTTTTTCCAGCCACAAGACAGCATTAGCTAGACCATTTAGCGTTGTTCCTTCAGTGATTAGACAATTTACAGTATATGATTTAAACTGAGCGAATATAACTGAGTGAAACACTTGTACTATATTTTGGCTTGACCTTGGCATCACTGACACAAACATGCACACACACACAGCATGCCATATGGACCCCTAGCTTTGAGTCCCATAGAACAAATAGGACAGCAATAAGAAACAGATTGAAAGTTGTTTTCGTGGGAAGACATCTCCAACATTCCACAAAGATATCTCACACACACATACACAAACACACATATGAGCCAGAGCAGATTAGTGTAAACACAAGAAGAACCTAATAAAAAACATGGTGCTGTTGTTAAAATATAAACATATGACACACGTGCACACGTATGAACACTAACGCACAGTGTTTACAGCCGTTTTTCTGCCTCAGTCTAATTTTGTTCTAGTAAACAGGTGAGTGAGTTCACTTGACACAAAACTGCAGTTGTGTATACTATAGCTTTATGCCAGACACAGCTGACTCAAATAATGACCAGTGGTCAGAAAAGGAAAAGGTTTTACAGAAATCCCCACTGAAGCCTTTCAAAGAATGTTGCTCATAAATTATGTTCCACACTTGACGGTGTTAATTCATGTTGAAGTTTATTTACAACCACTCAGGCACAGGAAACAAACATTTCCTCTAGCTACAGGACAACAGAATCACACTTAGTCATCTCTCAGTGATGTGCTGCAGGTGGCACAATATTTTATGGTTGCCCTTTGTCAAATGTGTGGATCCATTGCTTTTTCTTGTCTTATCTTTTGGTTTATACTCTTGAGTCCATTGTAGGTGACATAAATCCAAACTGACCACAGCTTCTCTTTTTGGCAGTCCATGAGATGTGTTTCATTATCAAAAAAGAATGTAATATCATTTTACATCCAGTATATGTGGATAATTAAATGGTACAACCACACTGCAGAGGCCCTGCAACCAATGAACACAATTGTTGTGAAGCTGCTGAGGGATCATATTGTTGTTATTGCAACAGCAACTCCTACATTATAAGGAGTAGACAGTATAGTGTGATCACACTGGAGAAGCTACAGAATTATGTCATTTTGATTATGCAGGATAAAAGAAGGCTTGATTTATTATTGTGCTGTTCAAGGTCTACAATGCACTAGTGAAAATGGAGGAGGTACTTGCAACTGAAAAAACTGCATGGTGATGAGAGCTCCAGAATGACCTTGCAAATCAAAATGTTAAAAAGCACCTTTTCTTTACTGTTGCAACGTCTCTGTGCATAGCACTTGTATATTAGTTGTAAAACAGTATGCTTTGACATCTGATATACAGCACTGTTGGGCCACAGCAAAGGAACTGCAGGGCAGAGGTAGTTAGATATTTCAAGTTTACAGTGTATTATAAAATAAAGAAAGAAATTGATTTTTCTTTGAAGAGGTGATATAACAAACATAAAAAACAAAAAAATCAGTTTCAACTTCTGAATGCTCTCCTTCTTTGTGGCTATAAGCTTTCATTTATGAAAAATATTTTCTCCTGCATATGTTCTAAATTATGCATCAAGTCAGGATCAGAGTTTTTGTGTGTGTGTGTGTGTGTGCGCGCGCGCGCGTGTGTGCGTGCATGTATAGCAGCAATCCCCTGGATGGTTTACGGGGCCAGTGGCGTAGCGTGAGTGAGACATGAGGCTTTAACCCCAAAACATATGCCTCTCTCTCTCTCTCTCTTTCTCTATGTTTGTGTGTGTGTGTCTCAGTTTAAGGAGGTCCAGTCCTGCCAATCAATGTAATGGATTCATTTGCCATGAAAGGATATGTTTTTGCTGTGTGTGTGTGTGTGTGTGAGCATAAACTTTCCATCTGGGATCTGCTATCAGGAGAGATGAGCTGTGTGCATGTTTGTGTGTGTGGGCGCTCATCTGGTCCTGTGAGGTCACTTCCTTCCTCTCTGGCCTCAGTGCTCTTCAAGTGTGTGAAACAGATTTAGTTGTACTGTATTTAAGTCCAGCATTTCCACACACACACAAACATGCTGCCTGTCAGTTAAAATGTGAATAACAATAGATATTGATTGTTGGTTGAATTCTGTCACAATATTTGAGTAGTGGTGCAGTCACAGCACCATTTATAACATACATTTCTGAGAATAAAGAAGTGAGTCTAATGGAGTCACACAGAGCCAGAGTAAAACCTTTTAGGGAATGGAGAGTCCAAAAGAGAAGACACTGTCAAATTAGTTGTGTCACACCATCTCATTTTTTATAACCCTGTTCAGTCTATGATAGAAATAAGTCTCTTCAGGTGCAGTAACTGTATTAACTTTATGTCTGCTTAGGGACTGGACAGTGCTTTTTTTCCAGTAAAACTATACTGGGAGCTTCCACTGCTCCTATTCCTTTATGCACTCCCTGAAGACAAAACTGGGAGCTATCATGTGTGCTATGTGTAGGACAAAGAAGACAAAGTAATTCATGAAAGTGGCAAAACTGAATTCTTAGTTGGTTGAAAATACATATGTAGCTCTTCCAAACTGAAGGTGTAATTTTCATTTTACACAACATGCATATGTGTTGCAGATTTGAAGGTGGAGCAGATGATTAGAAAGAATAATTAAAATATGTAGTTAACAACGTCCTTATTTACAAGAATACATCCTTCTTCTTCCCCCGTGTATTTCTATATGTGCGGGTCACAGCTAACCGAGCACAGAGCGGAGCAGCCAGCAGCTCTCAGACAGGAGATGCCTTAGGGAAAGCACTCGCATCAGTAAGTACAGCACACGCACACATGCACATACACACATACAATACAGATGTGATAGACCTGTTCAGTCCCTAGATAATGCAAATTGATTTTAGAATTCATTTTTTGATTCTCTTCAATGCCAATACAGTCGGAGTGTATCGTGCTGCTCTAATTCTATCTACATGTAGTTTTCCAGCATTCTGACCTTTCTTTTCTTTCTTTTTCAGATCTACTCCCCAGACCACACAAACAACAGCTTCCCATCCAATCCCTCCACCCCAGTCGGCTCCCCGCCCTCACTCACAGGTAAGCACATATTTGCTTCACTCACCACACCAGCTACATCATCATACAACCAGCCCACAGCCAACATTTACAGAAGCAGTAATCAGAGCTAATGGAAGACTTGAACTGGAGTGTTAGTCACAAAAACGAGGACTTGTCTTGTATCAAAAGATTTTTTATTGTCAATTCACTGTATGTACAGCACATACAGAAAAATCGAAATACTGTTTCTCTCTTACCTAATATTGAATGTCCATACCATTTAAGAAACTAAAATAGAATAAAAGTAGAATAAACACAGAATTAATAGAATATGAAAACTGAATTAAAGTAATTAGGAGAAACTAAATGGTACAACCTAATAGGCTATGGAGAAAGTGCAAATGACCAACAGCGGCAGATATGACGTTAAAAAAACAGTCAGCAGCAGATTTACATATAATATAACATATAACTTGTATAACTTGTGGCTTGATGTTTTTCAAGTGACTTAAGACTTGACTTGAACTGGTTTCAAACGACTTGAGGCTTGCACTGGTTTCAAATAAACTGAAACTTGAAGAAATACTTTCAAATGATTTGACACTTAGTTTGAACTGGTTTCAACTTTCTTAAGACATGAACTGTTTTCAATTTACATGAGACTTCACTTAAACTATTTTCAAATAAATTGATACCTAGCTTAGAATTTCAGTTAACTTATCTTGAACCTTTTACAAATATCTTGACATTTACTTGGACTTTGCTCTGAAGACTTCAGTACAGCTCCAGGAAGAAGAAAAGTAAGAAAAAGAAGAAAAAAATAAATGTTAAAGAATATTTAACTTACACTATACATTTTATTTATTAACCTAAAGCAAATTCCGTTCTTTATCTGGGGTGCAATCAGTAGCCTTACACACACATTAATAATTGTTGTGCCTGCTCTCCATATCCCCCCTTTGCAGCTTTGTATTTCCACCAATTACTTCTCCTCTCAGCTGATGTAAACTCTGCCTACTCCTTAAAGTGAAAAATGACTTTTCCTAATAATAGTTGTGTCGAATTTGTCTCTACTGTCACTACTACACACACCGTTTTATATTTCTGTGTCGCGCCTTGTGACTGATAGCTTTAATTACAAGCACCACTTCGACAAATTGTTCACAAACCTACAGGCTCTGTGAACACGAGCCCCCTCCCCTCTTCCACATCCTCCTCCTCATCATTATAGCTGCCTGGGATATTGCCTGCTAAATCATAATTGGTGTTTATCATTGTGTCAGAGTTACTCCACTTTTTACAAATTAGAAATGAAGCCTATTAGAACAAACTACATGCAAATTGATATCCAAGGCTAATTCTGCGAGGGTGTTTTACAGTGTTGGACTCAGAATAATTTACCCTGCCATTTAATACATATATTTGTATTTGCACATGAATATACCCAGGTGATTATTCATTAATTAGCATATGGAAATGAGCATGTAATATGAATAAAGCAGTGGGAAGAGAAAAGGCTGTGAGACAAAATGAGAAGACAATGAAAAAGAGAAACATGAGCTAATGAGATGAGATCAGAGTTACAAGGGAAAAATCAGTGGTGAGGGCAGAGAGGAGGAGAGAGGGAAAACAGGAGTAGGAACAGAGAGATGCTGAGAGAAGATTTGATGGTGGGATAAGAAATGAAGCTCTAAATAGACAAAAGGAAGACAAGAGGTGGAACAGAAAGAAGAAAAGCTTTATTTTAAACACCTTATTTAAGGTGCGAACAGGCCATCTGCAGCACCAAGTCTGATGAGTGTTAACAAGCTTTATGATTGTCGAGTCATGTGGTCATTTAAATGTTCCATCCATCCATTTTCCTCCGCTTATCCGGGACCGGGTCGCGGGGGCAGCAGTCTAAGCAAAGATGCCCAGACTTCCCTCTCTCCAGACCCTTCCTCCAGCTCCTCCGGTGGAATGCCGGGGCGTTCCCAAGCCAGCCGAGAGACATAGTCCCTCCAGCGTGTCCTGGGTCTTACCCGGGGCCTCCTCCCGGTGGGACATGCCCGGAACACCTCCCTAGGAAGGCGCCCAGGAGGCATCCGAAACAGATGCCCGAGCCACCTCAGCTGGCTCCTCTCGATGTGGAGGAGCAGCGGTTCTACTCTGAGCTCCTCCCGGGTGACCGAGCTCCTCACCCTATCTCCTACTACTACTACTATACTTACTTCACTATACTTCACTCACTTATTGCACATTATTTAAAGGACCATGACATTGTCACTACATGT